TCTCTCTCTCTCTCTCTCTCTCTCTCTGAAAAAAGGGAAAAAAAAGGTCATAAAAAGTGCACCATTGATAGTGCCCAGAATGCGGCGTTCACTGTAACAAAAAAGTGGCTTAGTGAATCTTGCGCTCCCACTTTACGGTCCGCGGTTCTGTGTTCTGTGTTGCGTGTGTTACTTGACCTGGGTTAAGGTGTGTGTGTGTGGGAGGGTTTTTTTTCTGTGTGTGTGTGTGAGAGGGTCTTTCTGTGTATGTGTATGTCTGTGTGTCTCGGAGGGGGTATGTCTTTGTTTGTGGATGTGTGTGTGTGTGTGTGTGTGTGTGTGTGTGTGTGTGTGTGTGTGTGTGTGTGTGTGTGTGTGTGTGTGTGTGTGTGTGTGTGTGTGTGTGTGTGTGTGTGTGTGTGTGTGTGTGTGTGTGTCAGGGGTCTTTCTGTGTGTGTGTTTGATAATTATGGATATTAATGTTATCATAATTTACTATTACTATCGTTATTATCATTATTGTTAATATTATCACCACCATCATCATCATCATTATCTTCATCATCACTGATACAACCATAAGGAACAAAGCCAAAATATAGCACCAAACGACGCAGTGACCGAACAGAGTGACGTAATATTCGTCTATAATGTTCGTTCTGCTTTATTTCCATCAACGCAGAACATAACACAATAACTGTTGTTTGTACTTGTCAATAATGTTTTAATGGGGTGTACTTTTTTTTTTTAATTATTGTGCTATGGGAGGATAGGATAGCATTTTCTTTCTTTTTTGTTTGTTTGTCTTTGTGTTTCTTTTTTTTCTTTTCACTCTCTTGATTATTCTTTCTTGTTCTTCTCTTCTCTCTCTCTCTCTCTCTAATTATCGATCTATCTATCTCTCTTTCTCTTTCTCTTTCTCTTTCCCTCTTTCTCTCTTTCCCCTTTTCCCTCTTTCTCTCTCTCTCCTTTCCTAAATCGAAGTGGAAAAAAACGTTTACATCGTCTCTTCCAATCTACTATCTTAAATAATAATATATTTATTATATTTCTTTTCTCTCTTTTTTTTAAATCTTATTTGTATATTATTTTTAAACCGGTGATGGTTTTTGGTGGTGGTAGCGATCCTGGTGCGGAGGAGCCTGTGACTAATAGCAGTGGAGGAGGGCCACCCGCTCTTATGGCCAATGGTGGTGCCACTTTTGCTTACTTACCCTCGTGTGTGTGTCTGTGTGAGTGACTGTGACTCTGTGTGTGTGTGTGTGTGTGTGTGTGTGTCTGTGTGAGTGACTGTGACTGTGTGTGTGTGTGTGTGTGTGTGTGTGTGTGTGTGTGTGTGTGTGTGTGTGTGTGTGTGTGTGTGTGTGTGTGTGTGTGTGTGTGACTGTGATTCTGTGTATGTGTATGTGTATGTGTTGTGTCTTTTACACGTATGTACTGCATACACACTCACACACCCGTATATACATACCGATATACGTATGTCTGTAGCTAGCTTATGTGTCTCTCTCTCTGTCCCTTTATCTATGTACATAATGTACTTTGGTTACAGTATTGATATTGATGTTTAAGATATTTTGTGATACGCAGGGGAAGTTGGCGCGCTGACGAGGAAGGAGGTGTGAAGAAAATGCCCTTTTTATGTGATAGCAGAAAGAAAGGAAGAGAAAAAATGTGATTCTAAAATGTCTCCCCCCTTTTTAATGAGAGAGAAAATGTGCTTTAAAAAACAAAATGCACCCCTTTTATGATAATATAATGTGGATGAATAGAATGTCCCCTCTAAGGAATTGATTATTAATGATAGAAGAGAAATGATCAATATGTTTTATCTGATGATCAATAGATATTATAATGATGGTCCACAATTCTCATAATCATTATGGTGTTCTGTAGTTCATTGTGTAGTAATATGCTTTTTTTTCAAAATTTTAATTATTAGGAAGGAGAATGGAATTATATATATGTAAAAAGATAATATTTGAAACGCGACCATGTACCCCCGTCCCTTCCTAATCGGAAATGAAGTTATTGGATGCAAGAATAGTCATTTTCATTGTCATTGCTTGGTGAAAGATCAAAATTTTAAAAGAATATAGAATATGCAGCAACTTCCCTCCCTCCAAAATGAATGAAAATTTTAAAAATCACTTTTCTAGTCATTCAAAAAAAAAAGACAAAAACTCTTAAGTTTCCCTCAAATTACATGTATTGTACATTTTGTATATGTACAAAAAAATCTGTAACTAATAACAATGATAAAAATGCCCCCTCAAACTCCAATAAAAATAAAAATATATATAAAAATAAAAACATAGATCCTTCAGATCCAACCTTTAAAACAAAAATTATAAATAAATAAAAAATAAAAGTGAAAAAAACACACACAATGCTGCTTCCGGAAACCATAGCCGAGGGTGCGTTACTAAAGGTATACTCTTTTCAGAAAAAAATAATGGGCAGCACCTCCTTCTCATCAGCAGCTCAAACTACCCCCTCGACAAGCTGCCGGCCGAACAAG